TTATTCATTTATTTTTATGTGGTGCTGAGAATCTAACTCAGTGCCTCACACATGCTAAGCAAGTGCTCTACCACTGAGCCACAACCCCAGCCCTGTTTCTTCATCTTTATTTTTGCAAATTCTTTCTCTTCTTTCTTCTTCTTTATTTGTTTTTTATTTTTGTTTTTTGGTACTGAGGATTGAACCCTGGTATACTATTGAGCTACATCCTCAGCCCTTTTACTTTTTCGAGTCAGGATCTCACTAAGTTGCTGAGGCTGGCCTCCAATTTGCGATCCTCCTGTCTCAGGCTCCTGAGTTGCTGGGATGACAGGTGTGTGCCACCATACCAACCCTGAAAATTCACTTAATAAAATGTTTGAAAAAAATTACTAGTACCCAGATAGAGCCAGCCTTTCAATTGTTTCTATGCATCCGTATAAATGCCAGTGGTTCTCAACTGGAGGTGATTTTGTCTGTAGACATTTTTGATTGTTATGACTGGGGCGATATAATGATTAGAGGCCAGGGATGCTGCTAAACATCCTCCAAAACTCAGGACAGCCCCCATGAACAAGAATGGTCTAGCCCTGGATGTTAATAGTGCCAAGAAAACTTGATGAATACCTACATATTTAAATGTATGTGTTGATACATATCAATGTGTATATTTATAGCTTTTTTTTTTGGTACTGGAAATTGAACCCAGGGGCACTTAACCACTGAGCTATACCTCCAGCCCTTTTAATTTTTAACTTTGAGCCACAATCTTTCTAAGTTGCTTAGGGCCTCCCTTAGTTGCTGAGGCTGGCCTTGATCTTGAGGTCCTCCTGCCTCAGCCTTCTGAGTTGCTGGGATTATAAGCATGTGCCACCAACCTTAGCTATTTATGCATATTTTATATCTACATGTATTTAAAACAAATCAGACTCATAGCCTCATAACCCATGTTTTCCTAATGTATTGCTCTTTTCCCAGGTAATGAAATTGCCCACATTTTAATGGCGATCACAGATCATATGCTGTGGTTGTTTGTGTCCAGCTCTATTTGGGCATTTTTAGGTGGTTTCTCCATTCTCAGTGTGTTAGTCAGTTTTCCGTCACTATCACAAAATAACTGAGATAAGCAGCTTAAAAGGAGGAACCGTTTATTTTGGTTGATGATTTCCGTCCAGGCTTGCTTGACCTCTTCACTTTGGGCCTGTGGTAAATACAAAGATAATATAAAGTAAATACAAAGGTAAACACATTTCCAAGTAAGAATTCTTGCTGTGCTGCTTGCCCAATAGCCAGTACTGTGTGGGGACATCGTGGGTGGATAGAAGCCACTGACAGAGAGGCTTCCTCTGTGCATCAGAGGGCCAGGGCTCTGGTGGTGAAGGGGAGCCAAGCAGCTGGACTTGGACTTGTGATGAGGCAGCACATCGTGGCAGAGAGCACATGGGGAAGCAGAGAGTGAGAGACGGAGGGGTTCTGCTCCCAGTGTCCTCACTTCCTTCCATGAAGTCTCACCTCCGACAGGTGACACTACCTCCCAATAGTGCCGTGGGTTGGTGACCAAGCTTTCAACACATGGCACTTGGGGGACATCTAAGATCCAAACACAGCGCTCTCTAGACCTCAGGAGAATCTGGGCGGTTCCTGTCTGATGATGGGTCTCTGCGCTGGGTTATGAAGGTGCCATCAGGGACAAGGCTCGTTGGTCACCCTTGGGACCAGCTTGGGTGTCAGCATTCTTTGTGGCTGGGGCATTTGTTCTTGGAGTATCCCAATTTCCTGAGGGTGTTTCCTCTCAGTAGCCACTGCAGGCAGAATGGCCTCTCAGCAGTCCTGGGCCAGCTTTGGGCACCCCAGGCTGTGGACCTGGGGGATGGTCTCATTCGGCGTCTCCCTCCCCTCTTACCAGCTGCTGCCTGGGTTCTGCTGAATTTCCCGAGGACCAAAGCCAGCTTCAACCTCCGTCTTCTCCTTTCCATCACAGGCCTGCCCTTCGGATGAAAAGAGAAAGGAAGAATGGACTACAATCACCAAACGTCCCTCGTCCCCTGTGGACAAGATAAATACATTTCCAAGTGAGAATTCTTGCCGTGTTGCTTGCCCAGGGGCCAGTACTGTGTGGGGACATTGTGGGTGGATGGACGCCACGGGCAGAGAGGCTTCCTCTGTGCCTCAGAGGGCCAGGGCTCTGGTGTGTGAAAGGGAGCCGAGCGGCTGGACTTGGACTTGTGAGGACAGCAGCAAGTGTGCAGCTTTAGATTGAAAAAAAAAAAAAAATCCCCCAAAGCCTAGCCTGGGAGGGAAGTAAAGGGGGAGCCAGACACAGCACCTTTGTGGTGTCTTGGAAGGCTTCCAGGAGGAGGAGAGGATGGTGTCTGCTTGCTGTGGCCTAGATGTTTGTGTTTGCCTCAGATTCATATGTTGAATCCTAATCTAAGTCGATGGTATGAAGAGGTGAGTGGAGATCTCATGAATGGAATTAGTGCCCTTAGAGAAAAGGCCTGAGAGAGCTTGTTTGCCCTTCAACCCTGTGAGGACACAGGAAGAAGGTACTACTATCTCTGAGGGGCAGGCCCTCGCCAGACTCTGTATCTGCTGGCACCTTCATCTGGGACTTTCTGCCCTCTAGAACTGTGAGACGTGAACTCCTATTGTTTATAAGCCACCCCGTCTCTAGTATTTTGTTACAGCAGCCCCCAACACACTAAGAAACTACTCACTGTTCTGTCTGTGATATTGCCTGAGGGAGTCCTTGCTTGGCTTGTATGTTCCTGAGTTGCTCTGTTTCTGGCTAAAATTCGCACACCCTCTGAGTAGAAGGGGCAGGTTCCTTGTTTTCTAGGTACTATAGGTGTCTTGCACTCAGATTTTTCTTTTCTTTCTTTTTCCCTCCCCCTCCCCTCCTACTCTCTTGCCAAAACTGACTTTTTCCCACTACAAATGTGAGGATATATTTTTTTTGGCCCAGCCTGGAAATTTTACATACTGAATGTTCTCCGTCTTAAATAAGCCAACTTGAGTTTATCTGAGACCAAATTGTTTCAGACACACTTGGCCATACACAGATGCCTGTTGTGTGAGATCCAGAACATTCTTATCTCTTTATTGAAGGATTTCTCCAGGGACTTTTCCTGACTGGGTTTCAGATCTATGTGTTCAAAAGTACCAGACGTTTTGTCTTAAGTTATTTGGAATCACTTTTTTTTTAAATATTTTTTTTTTTTAGTTGTTGATGGTCCTTTATTTTATTTGCTTATCTATATGTGGTGCTGGGGATCGAACGCAGTGCCTCGTGTGTACAAGGCAAGCACTCTATCGCTGAGCTACAACTCCAGCCCCCACTTTTTTTTTTTTTTTAACCATTCATTTCAGCTTGTTTAGAATTATTCCCTTATCTAGGTTTAATATGTCAGAAATTTTTTTTGGAATTTCCAGTGAGTTTTAACTTGTGCTGTGGTCCAAAATCTGTCCATTGGATGATTGGGATTAAAAGGACTGGATTCTGTCACCTCTTGCCTGAGATCAGGCAGAAACACACAGCAAATGGCTTCCTCAACCTCCTGCCTTCCCAATCCCTCATGGAGTGCAACAGCAAGCACTTTTAGATAAAATCATATCAAAAATAGAACATTGCTGGGTGTGGTGGCGCCCGCCTGTAATCCCAGTAGCTTGGGTGGCTGAGTCAGGAGGATTGCCTACTCAAGGCTGGTCTCAGCAATTTAGTGAGACCTTGTCTCAAAATTAAAAAAATTAAAAAGGGCTAAGATGTAGATCCATGGTAGAGCACTTGCTTAATGTGCATGAGGCCCTGGGCTGAATCCTCAGCAACACATACACACACATATAGTCTCTCTCTCTCTCTCTCTCTCTCTCTCTCTCTCTCTCTCTCTCTCTCTCATACACACACACACAAAAAAAAAAGAAAAGAAAAGAAAAAAGAAAGAAAGAAAGAAAGAAAGAAAATAGGATATTGCTCCAGCCTGTCTACTTCCTCCATTGCTCCACAAGGTGACCCTCTATTCTGAATCCTAAAACCCATTTCAAGCTTTATTTATTCATTTATTGGTACAGGTGATTGAACCCAGGGATGCTTGCTCTCTGAGATACATCCCCAGCCCTTTTTATTTCTTGTATTTTGAACTGAGGCTGGGATTCCAGGCACACGCCATTGTGCCTGGCCCATGGTCAACTTTCTAGAAGTGGAATCGCACATTATGTTCTCTTTTCAAGTTTGTCTTCTTTCCCAATGAGATCCGTTCATGTTGTGTTGTTCGTTCATATCTTTGTGACTGGGTAATGATGCACTGTGTGACAGGGACTTCCTTTTCTCATCCAACTCTCTTGTTTGTGGGCCTTTGTAAGTTTTCAAACCCACCATGAGGTCATGTCAATCACGTCTGAGTTGGTCTGTCCCACACCTGTCCCTGTTCACCTTCTGAAAAGCCTCAGAGTTTTTCTGAGTTTTGCAAATGCCTGTGAAGAACTCTCCTCTCCTCACTCACAGCATGCACCAGGGAGGGAAAGAGTGGAGAGGCAGGGGAAATCCCGTCTGTCTGTGGGGTCTGAGGGGCCTGTGGCCTTCTGGAAGGGTGTTTGTCTCCATGAATCTGTGACATACCTGCCCACTCATTTGGCTTGGGTTTGGGGGAGTGTCGACAGAGATCCAGCCTTGGCAGTCCAGGACTGTCTTGGGGTTCTAGAGTTGCTTCTTAACATTCGGTCAGGTCTTGACCTTGATGCTGGGGGAAGGTGGCCATAGGGTCTTGGAAACTCTGTGTGTGTGTGTGTGTGTGTGTCCATGTGAACATACACTGAGGGGGTAACTGAGGCCAGGTTAGAGGTGAGAGTGATTGCATTATAAGAGGCTTCGGCTGAAAATGTTGACCCTTTCCCCCTAAGGAATGAGCTTCTCCTGCATCTGAAGACCTACAACCTGTACTACGAAGGCCAGAACTTGCAGCTGCGACACAGAGAGGTAAGGGCAAGCCCTGGCAGGCTCCCTGGTGGGCTGGCCCAGTCTGTGCCTCCACTTGATCTGGGTCTGAGGGGCCTGGGGTCTCCAGGGGTCCCCGCCCTCCTGCCCCAGTGAGTGGCCTCTCACTTACAATGTTGGCAAGAGTCCTTAGGGCTGTTTGGAAGGAGGCCCCAGGCCCAGTTTTGATCCAGAATGGTTCAGCTTTTCTGCTCTGGAGACCTCCCTATGGGAGTGTGACAGGGTAGCACAGCCTCAGAGCGGGGAATCTCCAGAGGGAGGTTTTCATGAAGTGACCCTCTCAGATGGCTCCCCAGCAGGCATCCCCTTGTGGGGTGGTTCCCCAGAACCGTACCTGTCCTCTGTGTTTACACTTCAGGGCCCAAGTCCTATTGCGACAGCGACAGGGCAGCTCACATAAGATCTGGGTGGTGACGCCCACTCTCCCCCTCCACCTGCGGCCATCGTCTCAGCCCTTCTCAGGATGCCCTTGGCTTTCCCTCTGACTGTTCCCAGCCCCCACCCGGAAGCTGAGCTTACCCGTCCTGTGTCTGTTTCTGTAAAGCCTGCTATCAGATAGATGTTGAGTTATCAGGACGGCTGGTGGAGTAATTCATACTCGAGCGTTCTTGACTGATAAGAAGCAGTGTGTAAGACCCTCAGGTTATCAAGCCATGGCGATTTAATCCATAGAAACAGATAGCAGATGGTGGAATTTCAGCCGCTCAGGCAGCCTGTTGGGGGTAGGATATGGGAAGCGTGGCCTTTTCCTATGTCCCTCAAGCCACTCCACTTAGGCAAAGTCCTATTGAGGGTTAAGTTCTGTCTTGTAGTAGTTCAGTGTCATGATACCAGCCCTGCCCAGTTGGAAGTCCTTATAAATCAACTGTGCTTACGTAAAGCCTTCTCTCTCTCTCTCTCCTTTTTTTGGAACCAGGGGTTGAATCCAGGGGTGCTGAACCACTGAGCTACATCCCCAACCCCTTTTATTTTTGATTTTGAGATGATCTCTCTAAGTTTCCTAGGGCCTCACTACGTTCTGAAGTCTGGCATAAACTTGCGATCCTCCTCCCTCAGTCTCCCAGGTTGCTGGAATTACAGGCATGTGTCACCGTACCCAGCCATGAAGCCCTTTTCCCCAAGATCCCCAAATGCTCTGAAGTTGTTCCACTCCTTTTCTGATTCCCCCCAGACTCCACCATGACTCTTTGGCTTTGGTTAGTTGCTCACTTGGCAGGTTCCATTTTCACCCAAGGGGGTTTGTCCTGAAGATGTGGCCATAACCTAGGTCAGACACCCGTGAGACTTAGCCAAAAAACATGGGTTCAGAAGGGTTTTTCTGAGACTAGAGAAAAAAAAAATACTGGCCCTTTTTGGCATTGTCAAAGCTGCTATTAATTAGTAGCTAGGCCATGAGCAAGATTTTGATCTTTTATCAGCTTTCCTAGGATATATCCTACAGAATATAAATCTTCAAAGACAGCTGGGTGTCGTGGTGCACATGTATAATCCTAGAGGCTTGGGAGGCTGAGGTGGGAGGATTGCAGGTTCAAGGCCAGCCTCAGCAACTTAGTGAGAACTTAAGCAACTTAGTGAGACCTTGTATCAAATAAAGAATAAAAAGGGATGGGGATATAGCTCAGTGGTAAAATGCCCTTGAATTCAATTCTCAGTACAAAAAAAAAAAAAAAGAATAAATTATCAAAGTACCACATGATTAAAGTTTTTCATGGTCATAAATGATCTACTTTTTCAAGATGGAACATACTAATGTCCTTAGAAATTTCATATTTGCCAGGTGTGGTGGTATATCCTGTACTCACAGCAGCTATGAGGCTGAGGCAGGAGGATCATGAGTTCAAAGCCAGTCTCAGCAATTTATCAAGGACCTAAGTAACTTAGCTAAACACTGTCTCTAAATAAAATATTTTAAAAGGCTGAGGATGTAGCTCAGGGGTTAAACACCACTGAGTTCCATCCCTGGTACCAAAAAACAAAAATAAAAACAAATAAACAACAACAACAACCCCCCCACACACACACACACAAAGAAAGCAACCTTTTAGCATAACTTGGAATTCTTGCAGGATTTATTTACCTTTAGGAGAGTCATAATATTAAGCACATTAGCTTATTACAAAGTGCCAAGAAGTTCTGTTAAGAAATTTGCTTAACACAGCGTCTCCTAACTCATGATCCCTTGACATCCTTTTAAGGCAAAGGAGCTAAAGGAGCTGGTGTTCTGTAGAATAAACTTGGGGAAATTCTGCTTTAAATATCCTTCATCCAGAGGGTTGGATTGCTAGACATATGTTGTAGTTAAGGACCTGTCACTTTCTATAGTAGGGGAGGGATAAGTAGCTAATTCAAGAACCCAGTTCTTGCTTCTTATTAGTAAGGCTAGGTTTCATTTTATTATACTTTTTGGAACCAGGGATTGAACTTAAGGCTGCCCAACCATTGAGCTACATCCCCTGCCACTTATTATTTTTTATTTGAGACAAGGTCTCTGCTAAATTGCCTAGGGCCTCACCAAATTGCTGAGCCTGGCCTTGAACTTGTGATCCTCTTGCCTCAACCTCCTGAGCTACTGGGATTATAGGCATGTACCACCAAGCCCAGCAAGTCCCATTTATTTTAAAAGATGTATTCTGGTTTCTTAAAAGTTATTATTATACTAACAACAACAACAAAAAAGTTCTTTTTAATTTGCACACATTGTTTAGAATTTCACAGCAACGTGGTTTTGTTTTTGGTTTTGGTTTTTTTCAGAGCTAGGGTGGAGTCCAGGGCCTCATGCATGCTAGGCAGGCCAGGCTCTCTGCCACTGAGCTACCCCCACCCCCACCCCGCTCCTTCACAGCAACTTTTGTGCTGTCCTTTAAGGTCAGCCTCAGGGTGTCAGGGAGCTTTAGGGCAGAGTGTGTCTTGGAGTTGGGACGTGTGAACACCATTCACATCCTATGAATACCATCCAGGGGCACCCAGATAAGACACATGAAGGATGCTGTCTTTGTCCCCCAGTGCTGTGCTGGCTTTTGTGGGGCTTTTCTGGGCTCACCAGACTGATTGCTTTGCGGGCAGGAAGAAGATGAGTTCATTGTGGAGGGGCTGCTGAATATCTCCTGGGGGCTACGCCGGCCCATCCGCCTGCAGATGCAGGACGACAATGAACGCATCCGCCCACCTCCGTCCTCTTCCTCCTGGCACTCGGGCTGCAACTTGGGGGCACAAGGGTGAGTGAGGCGCGATGGGGCTGGGAGGTGACTGGAGTGTCTGGGTGGTGTGTGCCTAGTCAGCCATGCTCCAGTCCTGTTCCCACCACCTCCACTGCCACCAGCGTTGGGCTTGTGTTGAGGAGAACAGGGTCGGTTGGTGTGACGGGGCCTCCATTCTCTCTCCACAATCACTGAGTGAGGTCAGGGTGAGGAGGGGAGGTGCTGAGTCACAGAAGGGGACATGCCAGCGTGTCCTTCTTGGTGGAGAATTCTGGAGTCTCAGGGTGTGTTGCTGGTGGCCAGTCAGTACATCCAGCAGATTTCTAACAGGATGCCAATGTGTTGGCGTCCTCATAGAATGGTCCCCACTCCAGAGGCATTTAGGACTTGAACTTTCAGACTGAAGCTCTCTGAGTCTTGCGGGGAATCTGGAAAAAGAAAAGGAATGTCAACCCCTGTGTGAACCAGCCAAGGGAGGTCAGCCGGGGAGTCTGCTGCACACCTGGAACAGGGTCATGGACCCTTTCCCCTGGTCCCCATGGGAAAGTGTGTGCAGATCCTGCCTGTTCCTCCCCAAACTCTGCTCCTCACGTGGCCGAATGAGTAACCTAATGCATCTGCGAAGCCGCGCCCTTTTTACTGTCTTTCTGGGACTTTGGTTTTCAGGATCAAGTGACTAGCCTCCTTCCCTCCTGAAACTTGCTGATGCTGGCGGTCTGCAGGCTACAGCCTGGGTGGAGTTTTGCCGGCCTGAAGCCAAAACCACAGTGATGTTTTTTTTTTTTTTTTCCTAGTTTAAATGAGAGCCAAGTCCTCTCTGTTGGCCACATGGAACATTTTTGTTGAACTCCACGGCCAAAGTCCATCTTTACAATTCAGAGATACCTACCATGTGGCCCGACTCTGGAGGTGATCTGGTTTCTTTCCAAGAGAATCTCAGGAGGAAAGTTCTTACCCGTCCCATTGGGATGTCTGGTCAGGGTTCTTTGGTTTCATTTCACTTTGCTGGTTTCACACGGCTTTGCCTTCAGTGCTTACTCTGTATTTTATTTCCAAGGAGCCAAACCCTGTCCACTGCCCGATACTGACCCCCACGCTGTTACATTCCGTTCCCTACGTGAGATGATTACAAAAATTCCATTTGTCCGTGGGGCCTTTGGCTGGGGCTGCCCGTTGAGGGGTCCTTCAATCTGTGTATTGGTTTCTTCTCCCTTCCCTGGGGCATCAGGCTGGTCTTGATTGGCCCCTGAAACGTACAAACACATGGAGAGTAACCAGGCGGGTGGCCAGCTAGAGTGAATACCTGGACTACTGGGTTAAGGAGGATGCTGAGGCCAGTTTCTGCTTCAGCAAGAAAGAGGGCTTTGGATCAGGAAGCAAGGAGTGGCTGGCTACTCTAGATGCCAAGTGTTCATTATTCCCTGAGAGGCTCTGGCTGTGTGGATCCATTCTGGGGCTCAGAAGGCTGTGTTATTATAGAAAATTCTTTCAGATTTTTAATATTAATTGTATACCCTTAGAACTATCATCCTTGGAACATAAGGCCTGTCTCTACTGGGTCAGGGAGCTCACAGTCTTTTCACAGTGGGATGGCCTTAATTGGTTAAATATGATTCTCCTTCCTGGCCAAATCCTCTGTTGATTTTGGGTGTGTTTCTCTGAACTGCTTCCATTGTCCTTTTTGGCTTTGAGGAATTAATGGCCAGTCATCACGGCAAACCCCGGGTCTCAGCCCAGACTGCCTGCTGCGACTCTCTCTCTCTAGCTTGACTGTGGACTCAACCCAAAGAATGCTGTCATTGGTGCCCCTACCAAAGCTGCCCTGACCTGTGTAGCAGCCAACCTGTTACGTTCTACTCCTTTGAGAAGCCAGAAGCGGTTTCTGAGTGTTTCCTCCAACAGAAGGGAGGTGGGGCTGGGAATGTGGCTCAGTGGCTGGGAATGTGGCTCAGAGCTTGCCTGCCATGAGTGAGCCCCTGGGTTGGATCCCCAGCACCGGAAAACAAAACAAATCAACAAACCAGAAGCGAATCTGAGCTGGAATCCTGCCCCAGAAACAAATGGCCATTATTAGGGTTTCAAAAAATCAGTCATGGAACCCACATGTGCTTAGGAGCTCGGCGCAGGCAACACATGGGTTTTGTTCTTTGGAGTTTTCCTTCCTGGGCTGGATGAATTAGGTGTTTGTGTTGCTGCAGATGTTGGAAGAGAGCATCTTCTTGTTCCTAAACGTCCCCCGCCCCACTCAGTGCTCAGCCTGCAGGCTGGGCCCGCCTCCTGGGATGCTCAGGGCAGCCCACCTGCCTCCTTCATCAGCTCGTGTGAGCTGGTACCCAGCCCGGCACAAGCAAAGCATTCACTGGGGTCGGTGGGATGGGGGGATCTCTGGACCCGGGTTAACCCAGTCTCCCTTTTGTTTGTTTTCTGCCCCCAGCACCATTATGAAGCCCCTCACCATGCCTAACATTCAGATCTCAGAGGTGGACGCGTCTCCTGAGAGTGAACAGACCCCAAGCCCCACAGGTACACGTGCCAGGGGAGGAACATCCGGTTAGGGGCCAACTGGGTGATAGTTGTTATAAAGTGTGATTTATTTGTAGATATATGAAATTTTTATAGTTCAAGATTCAAAAAGTGTTAAAAGGGAAAAAAAATGAATTTTCCACCTCCATCACTGAGCATCCTCCCTAAAAACAACCTGAGTACATCCTTCCCCAGGTTGTTTATGCATATACAAGCAAAAACACACTGACAGATCTTTGGGATGACATTTATTTTTTGGTGGGGAGGGGGTACTGGGGATTAAGCTCAGGGGCACTCGACCACTGAGCCACATCCCCAGCCCTATTTTGTATTTTACTTAGAGACAGGGTCTCACTGAATTGTTTAGTGTCTCACTTTTGTTGAGGCTGGTTTTGAACTCTGGATCCTCCTGCCTTGTCCTCCTGAGACACTAGGATTACAGGTGGGCACCACCATGCCTGGCTGGATGTCATTTCTTATCTTCTCCTTTTTATATAAGTGGTAGCATTTTGCACTTTGCTGGTTTTATCTATATATATATATTTTTTCATTTAACTTAGGATTGTTCCACATAGATCCATAAAGAACGTCTCTGTTCTTCACAGCTCTGCAGGATTCCATGGAAAAATGATAATTATTTAGTCACTCCTATTAATGAGACATTTAAGTCATTGTCAGTCTTTGCTATGAAAAACCAGATTGCTGACAGTGACCTTATACATGGGCCATTTAACTCATCTGTAAGCATGTCTATAGAATTCCTTGAAGTGGAATTACTGGGTCTGAGACAATATGTGTTTGCAGTTTTGACAGATGTTGTCAGTTTGCAAATCATAAAACATGAATTAAATTATTTTAATAAAAAGAGTTTAATCTACAATTCTATTATTGTCAATTTTTAATATTTATAGACATACATTGGTAGAAATATGTCAGGGGACCCCCATATATTTGTGTCTTATTAACATTTTTTTATTGTGATAAAATACATATTATCTTTTTATTCTTAACATTTTGAAGTGTACTGTCCAGTAGTGTTAAATACATTTATAATTACACAGCCATCACTACTAAGCATTTCCAGGACTCTTCTTCCCTTAAAACCATCATCCTTGTGTGGGGGAAAAGGCACACTCATACATTGCTGGTAGGACTGCAAATTGGTGCAAGCATTCTGGAAAGTAGTATGGAGATTCCTTAGAAAACTTGGAATGAAACCACCATTTGACCTAGTTATCCAATTCCTCGGCATATATCCAGAAGACTAAAAATCTGCGCACTATAGTGACATAGCCACATCAATGTTTATAGCAGCTCAGTTCATAAGAGCTAAGCTATAGAACCAAACTAGGTGCCCTTCAACAGATGAATGGATAAAGAAAATGTGGTATATACACACAAAGGAATATAACTCAGGCATAAAGAAGAATGAAATTATGGCATTTGCTAGTAAATGGATGAAACTGGAGACTAAATGCTGAGTGAAATATGTCAATCCCAAAAAACCAAAGGCTGAAAGTTCTCTTGATATGTGGATGCTGACTCACAATAGGTGGTATGTGTGAGTCAGCTGGGCAGGGGAGTAGAATTTCACCCAGTTGAACAGGAGGGAGTCGGGCGAAGGAAAGGGGATGGGAATGGGAATCGACAGTTTAAATGAATTGAACATAACTTTCCTATGTTCATGTATGAATACACGACCAGTATAACACCACATCACGTACAACCACAAGAATGGGAAGTTATACTCCTTGGATGTATGATATGTCAAAATACACTCAACTTTCATGTATAACCAAAAAGAACAAATAGAAAATTAAAAAAAAATTATCCTTAGATCATTAAGATCTGTCTCTAAAACCCAGAACTCTTTTTTTTTTTTTTTTTTTAAATAAAACTGAAACTCTTGGGAGTATAGCTCAGTGGTTTGATCCCTGCACCACAAAAAATAAAATTAAAACCCCTGAAATTCTGTACTCATTAAATAATAGCTCTCCATTTCCCTGCCTACCCCAGCCACTGGGAACCACCATTCCATATTGTGCCCCTATGGTTTTGACTGTTCTGGGTACCTCCTAGGCGGACGATCATGCATCACTTGTCTTTTTGCAACTGGCTGTTTTCACTTAGCATAATGTCCTCAAGGCTCATCCGTGTTGTAACACTTGACAGCATTAGTTTGCAATATCTTGCAGGCCCTCACATGCTTGTTCTGGGCCAGGCACTGTTCTAATATACTGCTGTATATTCATTCATTTAGACCTAATCTCCTAAGATGGGTGCTATTGTTAGTCCCATGGTAGAGACGAGAAAACAGAGGCACGGAAAGACTAGTGACAGATGTCAGTGGAGGAGCTGGGATTTGAACCTGGGGAGTCTGGTTCTGAGGTCTCTACTCTGAACCTTGTCACTATAGTACTTCTTGGTAAATCATGTATTATACTTTTCTTCCAGTGGAAAATAGTTTCTATAAAATTTACAAAAATATATTGAAGTATATAAATTTTGTAAAATATATTTTGGGGGGAGGGAAGGAGTGCTGTAGTGTTGGCTAGAAAGGGACCATGTACAAGTTGCTGCATCCCAGGTCCAGGCAAACAGAGCCCCACCTTCCCCTCCCTCCCTCCCTCCCTTCCTTCCTTCCTTCCTTCCTTCCTTCCTTCCTTCCTTCCTTCCTTCCTTCCTTCCTTCCTTCCGGGACTGGGGATTGAACCCAGAGATGCTCTACCACTGAACTACATCCCCAGCTCTTTTTTAAAAATTTGAGACAAGGTCTTATTAAAATTTGAGACAAGGCTCAGGGCCTTGCTGAGTTGCCAAGGCTGGTCTTGAACTTGTGGTCCTCCTCCCTCCGCCTCCTGACTCACTGGGATTATAGGTGTGTGCTACCACACTCAGCCAGAGCTTGTTTCTCCTTTTCTTTCAGATTCCAGGGGTCTGAAGCCTGTGCAGGAGGACACCCCACAGTTGATGCGCACACGCAGTGATGTTGGGGTACGTCGCCGTGGCAATGTGAGAACCCCCAGTGACCAGCGGCGAATCAGACGCCACCGCTTCTCCATCAATGGCCATTTCTACAACCACAAGGTAGGATGGATGGGGCAAGGTGAAGGGGACAGTTTCAGAGGGCAACACCCCTTCTTGGGCATCTGCCATCTCTGGGCTATAGCTGTGCGGTCCCTGGTGGGACACCTAGGAAGTCGTGTTTGCTGTTCAGTCTTCGGGCTGTAGGATCTGCTGGCTCTATGGGGGATAAGGGGCCTCAGGTCAGGGGGTCCCCACTAGGGCTATGGGTACATTCACCGGGGCTGTACAAAGTAGCATCTGCTGTAGCCTTGAAGGCTTCCTGAACACCCCTCATGAACTGCCCCCACCGAGGTACCTGTGTCTGTGCCCTCTTCCTGCACCCCGAGCCCTGAGGCAGGTGCATGGTCTGACTTTCCCCTGAGCTAACGGCTTTGTGAAGCAGAGCTGTGAGCCCCAGATCGGCACCTTCTCCACAGGCAGCTGACCCCCTTCTTTCCTGTTTGGTTCAAACCCTGCCTTCTTATAGCACGGGCACGACTGGAGAGTCGCCAGAGGCCTCCTCATGGTGGTTCCAGCAAAAGGGTCTTTGTGAGTGTTTTCTTTGGAGAGAGTCCAATTTCCCCTCCCCAACCACGCCCTTTGGGGAGTCAGCCCTGAGCCTCCTGCAGGGGAGCCCACACTGAGTTAGTCAAACCTTGGGGGCTGCTTGTCTGCATCAATGTCCGATGCTCACCCTGCTGGCCCAGGGGTTCTCAGCGGGCACCTTTTGAGGACCATTGTCACGGAAGCTAGTCCCTACCTGGGTTTTTATGCTGTCTTTGTCCCTGCTCCCACCCTGAGCTGGACCCCTCTGTTGACAGACCTCGGTGTTCACACCTGCCTATGGCTCCGTCACCAACGTCCGCATCAACAGCACCATGACCACCCCGCAGGTCCTGAAGCTGCTGCTCAACAAGTTTAAGGCAAGTTCCCTTTGCTGGTTGTGTGCCTCGGGGCCCTGGAGGGGTGGTCGTGGAAGCTTTGGAGAGTGTGGCTTGGGGGGTGCTGGGCAGAGGATTTGGATTTTTAGACCCTTGCTAACCAAGGCAAGGCCCCAGCATTAGCATCGCCTAGAAGCTTGTTAGAAAAGCAGATTCTTAGACCCCATCTTAGAACTTTGGAGTCAGAAACGCTGAGGGTGAGGCCAGGGGCCTGCAGGGCCCTCCACAGCCCACTTGGAGTTTGAAAAGCATCCATCCTCATGTACTTTTATGGGCTGCCACGGAACAACCCCGGGGCCTGACCTCTGGTTTCGGGCTTAGTGCATAGATGACTTCCGAAACACAGGTGAAGACTCTGCTTTTTGAAAGGAGACTTAAACAGACATGCAAATGATAGTGCATATGTGCTTCTAAGGTGCTGTCACTCTGTTTTCTGTATTCCCTTTATGATTCTCTTGGAGACCAAGTATTCTTATTTTTATTTTTTTAAATTGTTTTTAAGTAGTGTTTTAGTCAACTTTTTCTCTCTGTGACCAAAGCCTTGACCAGAACAATTTTAGAGGAGGAAAAGTTCATTTTGTGCTCATGACTTCAAAGGTCTCCATCCTTAGACAGCCAAGTCCACTCTTTGGGGCCCCAGGTGAGGCAGAACGTCATGGCGGAAGAGTGTGGCAGAGGAAAGCAGTTTAGGCCATGCTCCTGGAAGCGGAGGAAGAGAAGAAGGGCGGGGCTTCTATTCAACTAGGACACAATATGTGCCTCCAGGGACCCACCTCCTCCAGCCACACCCTAGCACCCAAGTTAATCCCTTTTGGGATTAGTGCACTGATTAGGTTAAACCTCTTCTAACGCAATCTTTTCACCCTGAGCTTTGTTGCATTGTCTCACTCTTGAGCTTTTCCGGAACACCTAATATCTAAACCATAACAAATGGTGGCTTGCTGTGTTGCCCAGGCTGGCCTCAAACTTCTAGATTTAAGATCCTCTGCCTCAGCTTCTCAAGTAGCTGGGACTACAGGTGAATGCCACTCTGCCCAGCTAGTATACTTTTTCTTTTTTTAAAAAAAAAAATTTCTGTAGTTGTAGGTGGACAGCCTGCCTTAGCATGCTTTTTTTGTTTGCTTATTTTTTTTGTGGTGCTAAGGATCAAACCCAGTGACTCTTGGGTGCTAGGGAAGCTCTCTGCCACTGAACTCCAGCTCCAGCCCTAGTATACTTGTTTTTAATGGAAGCCAGTGTAGCCTAGAACACAGGAACCCTGGTTTGAATTCCTGTCCATCGCCTGCTAGCTGGCTGAGTCGGACAGGGGACTTCATCTCCTTGGTTTCTGCTTCCTCATTCATAAAAGGAAGATGAGAGTAACATGTTTTGAGGTTGTCAGGAGCACGAGATGAATGAAAATAAAATGTAGCGTGTGGAACTTCATTTTACAATAAATGTTACCTATGACTGCTAGCATCACTCGTCTGAAATCTTTCTCCAAGTTGGACGCTTTTGGAACACTGACATAATGCTCAAAAACTTTCTGACTTCAGAGCATTTTGGATTTCAGTGTTTTGAAGATCAAGTTCATGCAAATACTCCAAAATCTGAAAAACTCCAAAATCTGAAATACTTTTGGCCTTAAACATTTTAGGTAAAGGAGGCTCAACCGATATTATCTTTTTTTTTAGAAATTGAAATTCTGGGGATAGAAATCAGAGCTTCATGCCTGGTAGGCATTTGCTCTATCACTGAGCTACCCCCACCCCTAGCCCTGCATTATCTGTTATTGATAAAGTTATCTGCCTACCCCCATCTCCTTTTAAGAGTTGTGAATAAACAGCCTCCCCTCAAAAGAGCCTAAATCTGGTTTTTTAGTGCTGTGGAAGATGGGATGTCTCAAAGCTGGGATATTTAAATACATGCTTTCAACAAGTCTCTTTTGCCCCTGATTCAGATAGAGAATTCAGCGGAGGAGTTTGCTCTGTACGTGGTCCACACCAGTGGTGGTGAGTCTGAAGAACACAGTGTACTTTAAAACTTTTAATTAACTCAAAATAGCAAGTTAAAAAAAAATACCTCTGGCTCCTTTGGTTGTTGTTTAGGTTTTGGAAACTTCCAAATGTTGGCCTCCAGGGTTGGTGGGCTTGCTGGATGAGAATTAGAATACCACTGAATTAGAATACCATATTTGGGCAGTAAACAAACCCTAAACTCTAACTGCCTATTAGAGAAGGAACTGGACTTTCTGGAGAGACAGATAAAGCCAGTTCTTCAAAGTGGCTTCTTCTAATAAGGCAGGGGAGCCTTATTGAGGGGAGAATGTTGTTTTAACAACACCTGCTGAATAGTTCATTGACAAACCAATCACTTAACTTGTATGACCACATCTCCTAAAGTGCCTGGTCCATTTGGACCCCTGTGTTGACCACGACTTATGGTGAGGAAGGTATTACAAGCTGAATTCAAGGATGTTCCTGGTTGTGTGTGGTTCCAGAGAAACAGAAGCTGAAGACCACTGATTACCCCCTGATTGCCCGAATCCTCCAGGGCCCATGTGAGCAGGTCTCCAAAGTGTTCCTGATGGAGAAGGATCAGGTGGAGGAAGTCACCTATGATGTGAGTTCCCTCCTGGTTGGGTGGTCTATCTTCAGAGGATGGGGATTTTGTTGGGGTGGAGCATGAAATTCCTTCTGGTATACAGTTGGGGACCCTACCGATACCTGGTTTTCATGAAGCCAGTTGAAGGTATAATCTTTGGGAACTGTTGGAGGAATCCTCTGGCTGAAAGTGATTTCCACGGAAGAAACAAATTTCATGAGTCTTTCTAGGGTATTGGAAGAGGTTTGAGAGGTTTTATAAACACCCTCTTAAGAACTTCAAGAAGTATTTTTACCTTATGTATTAAGGTAAAAGAAGTTAAGAAATGTTTTTACTATATGTATGAGTCAGGTTTTGCTATAATAACAAATATCCCCAAATCTTAGTAGCTTATAACAGCAAACATTCACTTATTTTGCTCATGATTTTGCTGACTGGTGTCAATGGCTTTGCTTTAGATTGTAGGATGAGTTCATGTCTTCATTGTATTTCATTCAGAGACCCAATCTAAAGGGTCTCTGAGGTATGTTCCTTATGAGTGATGGCTGGAGCATGAGAAACCAGACCAAACCATGTATTTGAAGCCTACACTCAGATTTAGCATATATCCTGTTTGTACATATCCCATTGGCCAAAGGAAGTCACAAAACCAAGCTCAACATTAATTGGATGGAGAAATAAACTTCTCTCATGGGGGAAAGTTGACATAATAGGCAGAGATTCTGATGGGGAGGGGAAGACATTTCTTAACTTCAACATCCCAGCAAGCCTCTCCCAGCCTCTCTGAACCAAGTGCACATTTGAATACCTGTTTGAGGCTTGAGAAACAAATCCTTATTCTGAACCATGATGAGTCCTCAGATTCTCTTAAGGGGAGAGCAAAGAGATTTATTAATTATTCTGAGTTCAGTTCCTTCAATATATCACTGTAATCACTGCATCAAGAGAAATTGGACATCCCCAAAATCAGGGGCTAGAGACAGAGACGAAAAATGAGACTGTGTCATGTGAATGAAGCAATCTTCCTCGTGACTCTGAACCAGTCTTAGAAGAAGGCTTGCATCTTGGCTTTCAGGAAATCCTGGATTAGTGGGCAAATAGATTTCTCAAGGTTCTACCCTGAAGGAGAATAATGCATGCCAGGAGGGCATACACCCCATGTTGCTTCTTCCTTCCCAGGTGGCCCAGTACATAAAGTTTGAGATGCCTGTCCTTAAAAGCTTCATTCAGAAGCTCCAAGAGGAAGAAGATCGTGAAGTAAAGAAGCTGATGCGCAAGTAAGTGTGGTCACCAGGGTACGGGTTGGATTTCTTTATGGAGGAACCCTCAATGACAGGGGCCTCTATCCAGGTGCCATAAGGAGATTGCGCCAGGTTGCTTCATGAGACCGGGGCTTACGGGCCTTCTTTGGGGGGGGGGGCTACCTGTTGACAAATCCAAATCTCAGATGGGAACATGAAACTTAAATGTGCAACAATGTACTTAGAAGCCTCAATACACTTAAGGGCATCAAAATGTCTTTCCCCTCCTTTTATGGAAGAACTTCAAAAAGAAGATCTATGTTTTTTTAAATCTCTGTGGGGTCACTTTATCCTGTGTATTACTATTAGTCCAGGTCATGTTACTATAACAAAACACCCAAGACTGGCTAATTTGTAAAGAAAAGAGTTTTGTTTAGCTCCGAGTTTTGAGGTCCAAGAGCATGGCACTGCTTCTGCTTGACTCTGGTGAGGAGGGTCTCATGGTAGATGGCATGACCATGGTGGGAACATGTGAAGAAGGAATCACATGACAAGACAGAAAGCCAGACAGGGATTCAGGAGCCAAGCTTGCTCTTTGTAACAACTAGCTCTTTCAAGAACTAACTGGGATCCTTTAAGAACCACATCAATCCCTTCGGAGGGCAGTGTCCCTAGTAACTTAAGTGCCTTTCATTAAGCTTTACCTGTTAAAGGTCCCACTACCTCCCAAGGTCACCACAGTAAGGATCAAACTTCTGACATGAACACCTGGGAGACATGCTCAAACCTTACCCAGACCACAGCTTCCTGCTATCTCAGGTGTGTGTTCAGGCCCCCGGCAGCAAGTGGATGCCCACTCAGACGAGGGTCCTTGAGGAGCATTTGGTGAAGGGACTATTTACAAACACATGGTAGGGTCTGGGGTAACCTCTGGGGACAATGCAGTCCCCGGGGACAAGTGTTTGCCTCCATACCTGAAGGAGGGAGGACAATCAGGGCCGGCTGAGATCCGAGGTTCTGGAAACCCCTGGACCGTTACCTTAGCAGTGCACGTGGTACGAGCCCCCGACCTCTAAAATCCTTTCTTTCTGCCCTTCCTCCCTTTCTAACATTTCTCTTCTGGAAGTTTCATTTGGCTTGAAAAAAAATCCAGGAGAGCTTCTTTCTGGGAAGGATTTTCTGATTTCTTTGCCATGGTTAGTCACAGAATTGACTGCACTTCATAGCGATGGTGGAACAATTGATTGATTTTTTTTTTTTTTTTTTTTTGCTACCAGAAAATAAAGCCAAAGCTATATTTGCTGTAACTGATGACAGCATTTACATTTGGCTGAACACTTACTCCGCTCTAGACTTTAAAAATAGCGGTGTTGTGCAAAACCTCAAACACGAGGAGTGTGTCCCATTTCGCCCAGCACCTTAATGCCCAGTCTGGTATCTGCAGTGCCATTGTTCAGGGGCATCATGGGGAAACTGGACTCACCCACAAGCTGTGGACATCCCTATGTACTAGTTGCTATGGCCTCGTCTACAAAATGCAGGTACAGGGGGCAGGTTAAATATAGGAAGTTGCTGTTTTGGGAGCCCCTCCCTGCAAAAGGCTTAAGTATTGGCAGTTTCATATTCCATTCTAGATGAGGGCTAATGAGCTACCGTGCATCTGAAGTGCTAGGCTTGGTGCCTTGGGGATCGTAAGCACTCAGTTAATAGACCGCTTATTATTATTATTGTTGTTGTTGTTGTTTTCACCTTTCCCTCCTTCTTTAGCCATACGTTCTAATCATAGTAACATAATCTAACTTGGGTTTGACCTCTTGATTTCCTCTCATTCTGATGTGGAAATGAACCTAGCAATGAAGTGGCTAAAGAGTGGGCCAAAGGTGGAGGCACAGGGACAGGCCTACAGTGTCACCTGTGTCACCTGGGTGGTGGAGAAGATCACCTGAGGGTGGTGATACTGGCTGGCCCCTAACACAGGCTGTTTCTTGCTCCTAGATACACCGTGCTCCGGCTGATGATTCGGCAAAGGCTGGAGGAGATAGCCGAGACCCCAGCAACGATCTGAACCATGAGAACAAGAGGATCCAGACACCCCAGGGGTTGCCGTTGACTTCAGACGATCCACAGGAAGCTGGGTTCTTTCCTTCCATGGAAATGTTGTAATGCAGACCTTTGCAGCGCCTGACCAGCCATTATTTGCTCCCTGAAGCAGGATGAAGAAGTCAGAGGACAAGTCCCCATCCCTGGATCCCTGCTCTCTTCTCTCTCACTCACAAGACTTTTGTTCTAAGGAGGACCCAAAGTGTGTGTGCGCGCTCACATGCACACACAGGATACACGTCCATGGGCCTCCCTGATATTTTCACATGCAATTAAATTCCAAGCCACCAGCACAAGTGCCATGAGGCTGGCAGATGAGCTGTTGATGGGCAGGAAAGTCAGGGGCGTTCCTATCCTAAGGGCTTTCAACTAAAGAAGTGATTTCTCCCCTCTGGTGCCAGGGGGAAGCCACACATATCTGCCTGTCTCTGACAGGGGAAGAGTCCCTCCAGCTCACCATTTGGGGGGTTTATATGTTAGTAGAGATTCTCCTTGTTTGTCTAGAAGGATCTATGGATGAGATCCTTGGAAATTAATAAAACAACAGCTTCATACCTTTGGGGCAAGTCTGATGGAAAGAAAAAGATAAACCTTCACATGGGGTAGATGCAATGAGTGTCCGTGAGTTTTTACACTGGAAATTTTGATTGTTTTAAATAACGAAGATGAATGTGCGATGCTGTGTGGATGCCCGGAAAGAATGGATTCTTCCTCCGTGCCTCCTCCATGGCCACCTGTGTCTCTGCTTTCCAAACTGCCAACTCATCTCTCCGATGCTTCCTTGTGCTGAAGGAAAGTCTCTTGAATCAGTGGTCTGTCTGGCGGGCACATGGCACTGCCTAGTGGGTATGCCCAGGGCTTGTTTGGAGATGGTGGCCAGGAAGTTTCCAAGCTCTATCCTTAAGTCTCAAGAGAAGGGTAGAGGTCACCTGCAAAGATGACAGGTGCCTTTGCGCCCCACCCATCTTCACATCAACGAGTCTTCCTGCACTTGGAGCCGGGGCTGTGTGTGTTCGTGGTCAAGACCTTACTCTGCCCAACCTCTGGATTCTTGCACGTTCCCTCACCTTGGATGTGGAGATGGAACCCCAGAGTGAGGACGTGTCCTGCTGCCCACTGAACGTGGTCTCGGGGAAGCTGCCTGGTGAGGGTGCCTGGAGAGGACAGAGCTTCTCTTTCAGCTTCTCAGCAGCCACTGTGCGGATCTTTAGAGCCAACCTCCCCGGGGGAAAGAGCAGGGGCAGTGTGTCCCCTGTGACCCCAACGAGGAAGACTGCCAGGCAGCTGGGCACCTGTGTGGCTAATACTGTTTATCTGGAGGGAGAGACAGATGTTTGGAGCCAGGTGTTGGGCTATGGAGATCAAGCAAGCAAGATCTGAAACTTCTAACAGAGGCACCTCTGGAAGCTTACAAGGGAAGGGGCGCGCCCATCTCTTTTCTACCTCCTCTCCAAGGACCGGTTTGGGGAAGGAGAGCCATGGCTGGTGCCTCCCACAGAAGGTGGGCCTCTGTGGCAGAGCTGTTGTGGCCCTAGGCACCTTCCCATCCCCCATCTGCACTCCAGGCCTTCTCTGTGGCCTATTTAAAAGGCTCACAGCTGTGGTCTCACTATGGACTTCCAAAAAGATGGCATGCTGCCAGCAGGCGCTTTGCAGGTGGTGGTGGGGATCTCTTAGCAAGCTTGAGATCTCTGCAGGGCCAGCACCACCAGACCCCTGGGGCATGTGGTAGAAACCCAGAGGGGCTTAGGCTCAATCATACATTTCTGCAAAGTGCACAGAATTGGGGGGGTGGTGGGGAACGGGGAAGGGTTGTGTGTGGCAGTGGGGAGAAGTTTCCTTTGTTACAGATTCAAAAGAGCAGTTTTGTGAATGCAAACAGAGAGGTTTGCATTTGAGAAAGGGATTTGGAGAATTTCTCTCCCAGTTATTTTCTATCATGAATGTTCAAAGCCTTTCGTTGCCCCAATAATTCTCCTCTGGGAGCTGGGGGGTGGGGGAGAATTTCCACAAAGCTAATTACTAACCACTAATTCTTATAGGACAGCTATTTCTGGTTCATAAAAGTTCTTTGTAATTTGTACTAGCACCGTGATGATGATGGTGTTAAATATGGAAATGTTGCAAAATGCTAATTTGACAGGACACTTGCCAAGAAGGTGATACCAAGCGTTTTAAAGATGGGGTTTTGGAATAGAAGTGGGGGAAAAGTACATCCTACACCATCCACTTCCACTAACACACGTTTCTGTTTTGGCTCATCCTGTAGAGATGGTTTCTCATGTAACCTGATCAAGAATTTTGGAAACTTGACCTGGAGTGTAGCTCAACCTAGGACGCATACTTAGCATGAATGAGTCCCTGGGTTCAGCCAGCACTCAAAACAAACAAACAAAAAAGAACCCAAACAAAAACAGAATTGTAGAAACCTTTGAAATAGCAGCCTCAGCACAGTGTGGACTGGATTTTCTCACTGGTATCACATGGCCTTGCTGCTTTGAACTGCTCAACCTATTTGTGTGGGTTTATGTAATTGTGTGCAATGAACCTGAAATTGTGTGAAGAACAAAAGGCCAATGTATAGGGTTTTGTTTTTCCCCCCTAACTTGTGAAAAGCAGTTAAGCTGCATCTGGCTTTTTTTTTTTTTTTCTTTTGGGCAGAGGCTTATGTTACAAGGTGATCAAGTGAAGGAAAACCCTGAATCTGTCTGACTGGGCCGGTGGAATTAAGCACAAGGTCACATTCTCGGTGATCACTTTAGTGGGAAAATTAAATGGGCGGGTGTTATTTGGGAAGGGGCTGAAAAGCACAAATGACAGGCCTGTGCGAGTCAGGGAGGCATGTGCGCCCTGATCTTTGGGCTGGGTGGATTTCAACCTTGAATTGAGGTTAAGGTAAGAGGGTCCCAGGACATTAGCCACCCATTCCTGAGACAAGTGTGGAGGCTGGAGGTCACTGTTTCCTTGAAGACAAGCTGGTTCAGAAGCGTCAGATGCTTCAAATGGGGAAATATTTGCATCTTCCTCCTTACCAACAGGAAAGCAATGCTCTTCTCAAAACCTCCCCATAAAGACATTTTATCAGCATATCCATGGCAAATGATAACCCTCCAAAATCTGTTCTCCGTGCAAAAACATCTTGGTGAGAATTGTTTCCTATGGAGTTGGGAGACTATTGCAGTGTCAGGAGACTAATGCAACCAAAAAAAGTCAAGAAACTCTTAATTAAAGAAAAGCTTTCTTATTTTTTATACCAGGGATTGAACTCAGGGGCACTCACCATTGAGCCATATCCCTAGCCCCTTTTGGTATTTTATTTAGATACAATGTCTCACTGAGTTGCTTAGCATCTTGCTTTAGCTGAGGCTGGCTTTGAACTCTCAATCCTCCTGCCTCAGCCTCCTGAGCTGTTGGCTTTACAGGTGTGCACCACTGCACCTAGCTGAAAAGCTCTTTTTTGAAATGCCAGAAACCAGCCTAAAGCCACATTTTATTTCAAAGCTCTGTAACACCTGAGAACTTGATATCCCAGATAATGTCTCTAAGATAGACGTTTCTGTGTGGACAAGGGACTTGCAGTGTCTCAAGTGTCCAAACCATGACATTGGGAGTAAGATAGAGAGATTGCCTGGAGTCTCTCTTCTACAACAGCATGCCTGCATTTTTGAGTGTCTTCTTAAATTGTTTTACACAAAGCCTTGCTCAAGTCAGATAAGATAGGATCTCCTAAATGTAAACATAGAAAGGAATGGGGCACCCCTTCTTTCAGACCTAACCGGAAGTGTTTACTCTGTCACAGGATGTTAAAGTGCCCCTCTGCCTGTCCCCACCTTTTAACTAAGCACAGAGAAGCACAAGCTGTGAAGAAAAGCCTCAGCTTCCCTTTGGGGTCTTCCTGGCAGATCACAGACCTGTTTCCGGGCTGATGGTTTCTGATGTGTAGTTACTAGTGTTTCTTAAGGGTTCCCCCTCTTGTTTGAGTTCTGTGAAGTATTCTTTTCCTAACTTGCCTTCCAGTCATGGTACCTGGCCTGGTTCAATGTTTGATTCTGAACCGATAAATGGATGCATTTAGGCATCTTAACATAATTTGACAGGGCCTCAGTAGGGAGCCGAACATTTTTTGTAACCTTTTTAATATGTTTTAATGCACCTGATTTAGCTCTTTTTGAAATAAAGCACTTTTCAAAGAGAAATCTGTCTGTGGGTGGTTCCGTGATTGTCTATTGGAAGGAGAGTTCTGTGCTAGGAGAGAGTAATAGTAAGGTCAGAGACAGGAGTGGGAAGGCCCCCCCTGAGAGGTAAGTTCATTTTCTTCCCCCAGAGTTTATGGTTTGAACAGGCCCAGATCTGGCTGTGATGTTCTTAGTCCATTTTCTGTTGCTATAACAAAATACCTTGCATGATGTAACTTATAAAGAATAGAGGGTTGTTTAGCTCATGATTTTGGAGAACGGGAAGTCTAAGAATATAGAGCCAGCATCTGCTCAGCATCTGGTGAGGATCTTCTTGTTGCATCATTGCATGGCAGGGGGCATCCCATTGTGGGACAAGGCACGTGGGCCAGAGAGCTCAGTTTGAGAGGTTTTTTATTTCTGGTGCTGAGGTTTGAACCCAGGGCCTTGTGCCTGCTAAGCATGTGCTGTGCCTCTGTGCTATATTCCCAGTCTGAGAACTCTTGTTAACAAAGCCACTCCCTCAATAAGCCATTAACCCATGAGTGGATCAATCCATTCATGAGTACAGGGCTCTAATGACCCACTCACCTTCCAAAGGTTCTACCTCTCAATACTGCTGCCTTGGGGACCAAGTTTCCAGCACATGAATTTGGGGAATATGTTCAAATCATAGCATGTTCCAAATAAAAAGTGTAATGAGTGTATCCTTATGAGGCTCCAGTTGAGGCCCCTGGGGAACCAGCAGTCATGGAGGAAGGAGCTAGGGACTGCCACATGGTGAGGCCAATTTCACTCAGACTCACCGCTGGCTTGTTAGGACCAACTCTGTGAACCTTTTTTCTAAGACTTATTTTTTCTCATCTAAAACAGCCATGCCATCCTGCATAGAGGTGGAGACTTGGGTGTGCTTCTGTTGAAGACAGCCCTCTAGTGGTCTCCAAGGGTAAGGCTTTCAGATTGCAGCCCAAGTTAATTTTTTGTGTCAACTTGGTCAGGCTATGGTACCCAGATATTTGCTCCAACAGCAAACTAGATGTTTTACTGTGAGATTATTTTTTAAAGATGATGTTAACATTTAAATCAGACTTTGAGTAGATTGCCCTGTAGAGTGTGAGTGGGCCTCATGCAATCAGTGAAAGATCTTGAGATAAAAGACTGAGGACCCCTGCAGTAGAAGGAGTTCTACTTCTGGCCTGCTTCTGGACTTAACTGCAACACGAGTCACATGAACAAAGTCCTTAAAACAAATTTCTTTCTCCATCTACATAAGTGTGTGTGTGTGTGTGTGTGTGTGTGTGTGTGTGTGACTACATATGTACAGACAGACATCTATATCTGCAGTTTCTTCACTTGCTAAACCAACTGTGAATCAAAAAATAATTTTAAAAAATTCCAGAAGGTTCTTAAAAGCAAAACTTGCATTTGTATGCAACCAGCACTATACTGCATCCACATGAATGGAGAGGTGTGTGGACGCGCGTTCTGTAGCTCCTGCCATTCACAGATCCTTAGTCTGTCCCCAGCACTCGTTAGAGCATCATTTGTCTAATACATTGTTCATATATTATATAGTTAGATCTGTGATGGCTACATCTGTACTGGACATGTACACACATTCTTTCTTGTCATATTTCCCTAAATATTATAGTATAATAACTATTTACATATCATTTACATTGTATTAGATATTCTAAGGGATGTTTTAAAGTCTACAGGAGGATGTATGTATGTTACATGCAAATACTATGCTATTTTACTTAAGGGGCTTGAACCTCCATTGGATTTGATATCTACAGAGGGTCCTGGACCTAATCCCCCATGACTTAACAGTTGTCTTCCTAGGAAACCTGGCCATGTAGCATAAATAATGACCATCATAATTTGGCCTCTAAGTAAAAATCAAGACAAGATTTTTTTATTTTGTACTTGGGATTGAACCCAGGGGTGCTTAACCACTGAGTCACATTCCCTTTTTATATTTTATTTAGAGACAGGGCCTCAATAAGTTGCTGAAGCTGGTTTTTAACTCTCGATCCTCCTGCCTCAGCCTACTGAGCCACTGGGATTACAGGCATGCGCCACTGTGCCCAGCTACTGTGAAGTTTTAAACACAATTGAATAGGTTACTAGAAAGTTTAAATACAAGCAAACACTATTAAAAATTGAATTTGGGTAAAATTGATAGTTTCATTTTAGAACCATGCAAAATAGAAAGTATATCTTGCCATTTTATGTTTAGCATATAGGTACATAAGTTTAACACGTAAGTATATAAATTAACTTTATGTAAGGAATAAATTACTAGTATTGATACTAAGGAAAAACCTCAAGAGACTCTTTAGCTTCACTTGCTCTTAATGGACTTCAAAATCACTAACTTTGGAGGTCACACAGCTGGGCAGTACATTGTGAGTCTCCCACTAGCTTTGCTATAGATAGCACCTTTGACGTGTGGGTTAAGATGATAACAGTTGCCTGGGTTATCTTCAGGGACCTGAAGGCCAGTTTTGCTGAAAACACTGACCCCTCCACTTGGGCCTGCAGATAGATGGGCAATGGGTGACTGGAACAGGAGGAAGAGGCTTGGCATCTCTGTTTTCTGTTGTGTGTCTTCTTTGCTGCCTTAACCTTTGAGTCAGATGCTGCTCAGCACTGCATATGGACATGAGAAACATCTGAGAAATATTTTTTCCAAAATAATAATCTAGGATTAACTTGATCTAGACTCACTTGGTCTCCTCCTGCTTCAAAGCTAAAGACACTAACCTGTTGCCATGACTGGAAACACCAGACTACCAAAGGAGTGAAAAGAGGAGGCACCCAAATTCCCAAAAAGAACATGAATGTGCTTCTGTCCCCTTTAATAGCCTATCTTCCTCATTATCCTTATCCTATATCTCTAACTCCTCAACTTTTTTTTTTGGTGGGGGGAGTATCCAGCCCTATTTTGTCTAATGCAATTTAGAGACAGAGTCTCACTGAGTTGCTTAGCAATTTGCTTTTGCAGAGGCTGGCTTTGAACTCATGATCCTCCTGCCTCAGCCTCCTGAGCCGCTGAGATTACAGGTGTTCACCACAGCTACTCCTCAACTTCTTGGAGTTGAGAAATTGATCTGCAAGCAGAACTCCTACTTCTCCATTCTTTGGTCACTGAATAAACTTGTGCTGTCAATACTCAGCATTTGGTTTTGGTTTTTGTTTTTCAAAACTTGAATCGAAAAATAATCCTGCTGTAGGTAACAGCATATACCCTATAAGTATGTAAATTAGCTTCAGAAGTTTTAAACCATGGGCCCCTTGGTAGGAACCATAGGTCCTGGTTTGCTTGGAACTGTTCCACTTTATGCCTGTTGTTCCAGTGTAATTATAAACAGCACCCCCTCTTACTATGAAATGCCCATGTGGATGGTAAATACGTTCCTTCTACCCACTGGCCAAAGAGCAGCTTACAATTTTAATGAGAAGTTTTAAAGAAATAGTCATAAGTTTCATTGAAATGCTGTTTAAACTTTAGGATAGAACTGAAACCTCAACGCATGCTTTGATAGAATGCAACATATATTTTGTATGTCTTGTTAACTCTGATTTAAAAGTTCTTGAATTAGAACATGTGTGTGTGTGTGTGTGTGTGTGTGTGTGTTATTGGAGTTTTAAAATTGGACACATAGTCATAAAAACTCATGGCTTGGGCTTTTATTTTTTAATTTGAAAATATATTGGGCCAGAGATGTAGCACAGTAGTAGAATCCTTTCCCAGCATGTGTATGAGGCAGTGGGTTCCATTCCCAGAACTGAAAAAAAAAAGTATTTATTTTCCAGCTTTATTGAGGTATAATTGAGAAATAAAAATAAATTTGTATATATTCAAGGTGTACAGCCTGATGACTTTGATATGCATATATATTGTGAAGTGATTACTACAATCATGTTAATTAACATATCCATCTCCACACATAGTCACCACTTTGTATATGTGTGTGAGGACACAAGATCTACTCTTAGCAAATTTCAAATAAACAATATAGTATTATAATTAAAATAACCATACTTTACATTAGATCCTTTGCACTGATTCATATATATATATATATATATTTTTTCTTTGCACTGAGGATTGAACCCAGGGTGCTTAATCATCAAGCCACATTCCCAGCTCCCTTTCTGTTTTTAATTTTCTATTTAGAGACAGGGTCTTGCAAAGTTGCTTAGGGCCTCACTAAGTTGCTGAGGTTGGCTTTGAACTTGAGATCTTCCTGCCTCACCCTCCCGAGCTGCTGGCATTACAGGCACGTGACACCTCGTCTGGCCTGAGTTTTCAATTATGACACCAAAACACGACAGCAAAAGCAAAAATAAAACAAGTAGAACTACATCAAATTAAAAAGCTTCTACACAGCAAAGGAAACAACTGGCAAAATGAAATGACAACTTACAGAATGGGAGAAAATGTTTGCAAACCATATGTCTGAGAAGGGGTTAAAATCCAAAATATTATTCAACAATTTATGAGTCTGAACATCCCCTGCTCGTCATTAAGGCCCTCTAAGCTGTCCCTGGTGCCATTGACCTACATCTGTGGAACCATCTCGGGTAAGCAGCACCCAGGTTTGGGTACAGCAAAATCCTCCACTGGGAGAAGCCGAGCTTCAGGAGGTAGCTGGTGCAGACAGCGTGGGCAGGTCCTACCAAGGGAGAGTGATTATGTCTGGATATAATTTTGGGAATAAATTGCTAATGAGAACCCCCACACATACTGAATGTTGAATGTCTGGGGCTATTCAAAGCCTTGAATCCAAAATAATGTCAAGGAAAGTTCCTCAAGGTAAGGGCATATTTGAGAAATATGAGAAATGTAGTTTTGGTTAAAATTCCTTTAAACAAAATTTGGCAATAATACAAATTACCACAAAAAACAATTCAAGTAATTTGGCCCAAAGCTCTTGAGTTAGCTAAGCAAAAAGAGCCAACTACAATATTTATGATCCATTAAAAGAAACCAGGAAGTAAAAATGAAATTGAAAATGCTCAGAATAATCTAGAGAAGAATGATTAGAAATACCCAACGAATTTTGCAAGATTGCCCGGACAATGAAAAACTACAGAAATATAATGTATGTCTAGTTCTCTCATCTAATAAAAAATAAGAAAATAAAATTTAGAAATGGAAAGATACACTACATCCATGGATCAGAAATTTAACAGCTCTCCCCAAACTTTGCGTATAGATTGGAGTTATTCCAATAAAAAGCTGAGTAGGTTTTCCTCATGCCTTCTTATTTCTTTTAAAACAACAATCCAAGTAAAGTAAAAACTATACCCATAAATATTATTCAGCCATTACAAGTATAATCATAATGTTTGTGTAGAAACATGGAAAATAATATTATGTTAAATAAATGAAAGAGCTGATGTTTAATATGGACGATGACCTATTTGGAAGAAAAGCCTATGGGAACACTTAACCTCGTAAGTGGTAGGATTAAATTTTCTTCATTCTTCTGTTACATTGGATTTAAAATTTAAATTTCCTGCTAAGTCCAAAAATATTGAGGATACAGAAACAAATAGGACTCATGCATGCTAGGCAAGGACTCTACCATTGAGCTATACCCCAGCCCCAGAATCCCTGTGAGATGCAGTCTCAGTGATACATCAAAATCGTGTGTGTGTGTGTGTGTGTGTGTGTGTGTGTATGTATGCATACATACATATATATATATAATGTACCTACACCCATATGTGATACACACACATATACAAAACAAGATGAAAGGATCACATCAGTAGTGCTTTTGCCTTTGAGAAAGCCAGCCACCATGCTATCTTCAGCATCCAGGGCCCTGAAGGGTTGACACTCCATGCAAGAAACTGGAGAATTTCCTTGATGTAGATAGGCTCAGTCACCCCAGACACCAAGCCCACTTTCAAATTGTATTCTCAATCCTCCTTTCAGAAATTAGACAAGTAAAAGCTTTCAAAGGGAGAAAAAAAATATGGTAAATTTCAGAAACTTGAGGTCAACCAGAATGTGCCATCAGACCACTCTACATTCAGTTGTCACATTTTGATACTCCCTTTACTAAGAACTGGTACCAAATGCGATGCCTGTTGGCTAATCAAGCTCTCTGCAGGATGTATTCTGGATAAACGTGTACCTCGCCCCACCTGGACACACAAGAAAGTCCTGCTCCCTGTCCTACCCAGTGCATCTGAGGTTGATGGAGGAACTGGGACACTTGGCAAGAGACTGGGAACAGTGGCAGATTATTTCTGGCCTGACTCAGATAATTATCAAATAAAGGATTTTAAAATAATTCACTCGGGTATCTATTCGGGGCCTTCCAGGATGTGCACACTAAGTCAACAATAAACAACCCTAAAATAACTGACTCTGAGCAATCTCAAAATGCCCTTAGAATTCCCCCACCCCCCAAAACTTCAAGAATCCTAAAGATCACCAGGGGACTTGTTAAAACGCTGGGCCTCCTACCAGAGTTTTGATTCCGCAGAGAGTAGTGGGCTGGGAATTTGCATCTCTACTCAAGTTCTCCGGGGATGCTGAGAACTTTCAGTCCACGCAGGTCATGAGGTTCTAAATGAGTCAAAGGCACACAATCCATCACCTGGGAGTTAAAAAAAATATTATTTTGGTACAAGAGCTTGAACTCAGGGGTGCTTTACCACTGAGTACATCCCCAGTTCTTTTAACTTTTTGTTTTGAGCCAGGGTCTTATTAAGTTACTGCTGAGGCTGACCCCAAACTTGAGATCCTCCTGCCTCAGCCTCCTGAGTCACTGGGATAACTGGCATGAGCCACTGTGCCAAGACCTGGGGAGGTTTGAAAAACATTGATGTCTGTTTCATACCAAGAGATTCTGATTTAACTTCTGGAGTGGGTTCTGATAACATGATTTTTTTTATTAATTTTTTTTTCCAGTTGTAGTTGGATACAATGCCTTTATTTTATTTATTTATTTTTTATGTGGTGCTGAGGATCAAACCCAGGGCCTTGCACCTGCAAGGCAAGTGCTCTACCACTGAGTCACAATCCCAGCCCGGTTCTGACAACATGATTTTTAATACTGCACCTGCTACCACTTACCATTCTCCCACTTACCATTCTCTCTGTGTGTCCTGAGTTTGAGAAGCTCTTCACCAAACAATCCTAAAAGATTCCAAATCCAAATGATGAAACATGATCACATGTAAAATACCTAAACATTATAAACAACGGAAGTACCTAATGCTATTCATCAACCCTAAATGATCCCAAAGGATACTGAAAAATTCTAAATAATGCTTAGCAGCAAAAACTTAAAACAAAAACAAACAAACAAACAAAACACTAAAAGACCATCACAATTGAAAAAGACCTTAAATAGCCTTAATGACGTCAAGTTTTGGAGTCTAGTTGGGCATGGTGATACCCCTGTAGTCCTAGCTATTCAGGAGGCTGAGATAGAAGGATCATTTGAGCCCAGGAGTTTGAGGCCAGCTTGGCAGCCCAATGAGACCCTATCTCAAAAACAGATAAATAAGCCACCCACAATGACACATACCTATAATCCCAGCAGCTCAGGAGGCTGAGGCAGAAGGTTTCTGAGTTCAAAAGACAGCCTCAGCAATTTAGTGAGGCACTATACAACTCGGTGAGACCCTGTCTCTAAATAAAGTATAAAAAAAGGCTGGGGATGTGGCTCAGTGATTAAGCACCCTGGGTTAAATCACTGGTACCAAAAAAAAAAAAAAAAAAAAGATAAATTAAAAAGGTCTAAGAGTCACCAAATGAATTATGACCCTGGCCGATCCTAACTGACTGTAAAACCTACAAAGTTTAAAACCTAAACTTAACACAAAAATGAACCCTAAGTGATACTAAATGAATTTCAAAAAATCCTATATAATTGGAAGAGATTCTAAATGGCCATAAAACATTCCGAATGGTCTTTAATGGCTTCTAACAACCAGAAGTCCTTAAACCTTGAATGAGCCAATTAGAAAAATAAAGAACACAAATGATATTTATTGACTCTAAGTGACTTTAAACCTCTCTTAAAAATTCCCAAGTCCTCATCCAGTCTACCTCCCCTCACCTGGCTAAGAGCCCCTCCTCCTGGGGCCCCATTGCCTCCGCCCTCCTGGACAGTGCCTGTGCTTTGGCTACCCTGGTCTTGCTGT